AGTCTGCAAACAGCTTGAAGTTATAACTCTGACATGGGAATGGCTTCTTTTCATCTCTGTTGTCTAAATCAGAAATCTAATGACACTTTAAACATCAACTTCTACTGTTTTGCTATGGATCATTTTTGCAGAAGCATCTAACACATGCAATTCTCGTACTCCCCCAAAACTGCCTGTCATTTTTCTATAGGCACCAGATATCCCAGCCACTCCAATCTCCGCTTTTACCCCAATGGCTTCTGGGATGCAGCTTTCTGATGACTGTTAAAAATTCTGCTCCACATCAGATAAAATAGTAACTTGAACACCAAAACAAGGACAGGATGCTGTTTTAAATATGGCATACATGTATATTAAAACCATTTAAACCAGTGCTTGTCTCCCCGCCCCGCCCCCCCCAGCAGTGTATGAGCCCTGGCTGCCACCTGCAGTAGGTGGCAGCTGGAGCAGAGCGCAGACCCTGGCTTCCTTCCCACCTCCACCCCACAGGCAGCACAGCCAGAGCAGAGCCCGTGTTTGGGCTGGGGAGATGGGAGGATGCAGGCTGCCTGTTTGCTGGCCCTGGGTTCCCCACCCTGCCGCCCTCCCCACAGGGGCTCTGTGGCCTAGGAGGCAGGACCCAGAGTGGGAGGGTGTGCTCTGCCACCATGGCTGCCAAGGTGAGGCATTCCTTACCTGTCTGGCAGCAGTGGGGGCGTAACTCTGGGCCGCTGCTGTGCTTCACCTTAGTGGCCATGGCATTGTGGTGCTCCCTTCCACACTGGGACCGAGATCCCTGTTTATCATGACTGCATCTGCCGAAGCTGCAGTCCCATTTGGGGTTGTGACCCACAGCTTGGGAACCGCTGGTTTAAACTGTCAGTGTTTCTCATGGGCAGTTAAGTTTTCCAGTCTGCTACTGTATCAAAACTAAGGAGCATTATTTCAGAACGCAGGGTCAGTGTTTCATAGTGTACAAGGTTCCTTGGCCTTAGTGAAGCATACATGTTATTAAAAAGCATTACATGTTATTGAAAGCATGTTTTTTTTCCTTTGGTTATTTTGTACTTGGATTTGTTTAAAGCTGTTGATGCTTGTTTACACGCTGAAATTTAAAGTAGTGGTAATTGAATTCACTTCCCGCAACAGAGTCACTAAACAGGTGTTTTAATACTGCCAGGTGTATTACCTCTCTATTTCTTTCCTATCTTTTTTCCTTTGAGAAAATTTGTATATAAGAAGAATTAATGCTAATAATAAATAAGAGGTTGACTGTGTGTGTTCCTACCAACAGTGTCAGAAGTTTGGACAATACAACAAGGATGATCCAAATTCTTTCAGATTATCGGACTCATTTTCCCTGTATCCCCAGGTACGAGCTTCACTTCTTGCAGACTTGTCTCTTCCCATGAAAGAGAGAAATCAGGGTAGAAATGTCAATAAAATGCATCATTTGTGGTTATCTGAGATTGGCGAGGTGAGGAATAGAGGCGTTTTAAATTTGTTATGGTGTATGTCAATTCCTTGGTGCTTACAAGTAAAATATGTAAATGACTGATGCATGTAAACCTTGGGAGCACGAACCAGAAGACCTTGGCAATAACTTAGTGTACAGGGAGACAGTAGTTGTGATTAGAGGGGTTGGAAAAATCCATTGCAATTCTTCTTTGTGTTCAACTTTTACACCTAGTTTATGTTCCATTTGCGGCGATCTCCATTCCTTCAAGTATTTAATAATAGCCCAGATGAATCTTCCTATTACCGCCATCACTTTGCCCGACAAGATTTGACCCAGTCTCTCATCATGATCCAGCCCATCCTTTATTCCTATTCTTTCTATGGACCACCTGAGGTAAGTCATTGTAACAAGGTATGGAACAAGTCATATCACTGTCTTGCCACTCATCGAAGCAACACTGTTCTATAAAAAATGTTCTAGCTTCTTATTTGGGTAATGTAGAAAAACATGTTAGATTTATAAATAGTAAACATACATTCATAAATACTAAATTAATTTTAAATTCCCTTAAATTTTTTAAAGGTACATACTTAAGGGAAATTAAAATGAAAAGCTTAAGTTATCAAGTAATAGTTATAAACTCAACAGTCTTTAGATGAGACACTTGCCCATCATTTAACATTTCCTACCTCTGAGGAATAGCGTTTTTACATATGGTAGAATCCAGATACTTTTCAAGGTTAGGTTTCTAACTCCCCTGGCAAATCTGAGAGCTTGTGGACTTAGATGAGCATATATCTAGCCATAACAAATAGCTGCATGGGACTTCTGATGTACTCCAGATGTTTGCTGTGGTTTTTATTTCAAAGGGCACTACTTCAGTCAACTGCATAAAACTGCTGATTATCTCCACCTGATCGGAGAAGTGTAAAAGTTGCAGCAAACAGCTGTGCGCCTCATACTTAATTCAACAACCTGCTGCAAACTAAGTGGGTTGCAAACCAGGTGCCTTTGTATTTTATTTCTTGGAAGATTAGCCAGTTTGCATTTCATTCTCTGATGCTTGTCCTCTAGGCTGACCAGCGCTCTTCTGCATCATCATTGAACAGCAATCTATTTCACCAAATGTTGAAAGTTAGTTTCACCCTGAGGGCTTCATGGTGACTGATTTTTTTTTTTTTTATCTTTCCCAGCCTGTACTCTTGGACAGCAGCAGCATTCTCGCTGACAGAATTCTGTTGATGGATACTTTCTTCCAGATTGTTATCTACCTTGGTGAGGTAAAGTGCAAACACTCTTTGTCTTACTCTCTTACTCAGACCATTGATGTGTGTTGTACAAACAGCTTCTTGCTTAGTTTGAATCAGTGCCTTGGTTTTCAAACTGTTCTGTGGAACCCTGGGCTTGCATGATCGGTCATCAGGGGTTCCACAGAGAGACTAGAGGTAATGGGAGAGCAGGCCAGGAGATGGTATGTTGTGATGGATTGTCTGGCTCTACATGAGTTTTTAGGAT